GCCCGGGAAGAAGGCAGGGGTGGGGGGAAGGCATTTTTTTACTTTAAGATCTGGTTGCATCTCCCATTGTTCTACTCTGATGTTGGTAACAAATTAAAATTGTTTTGTTTTTATTCCTTATGATGAGTCTTGTCTTTTGGCTGTGACCTTTTTAAGTGGTGAGAAGCCCTCCCAGTCCTCCTTTTGACTAGCCCTTTTTTGGGGCATCGTGGTGCTGTTATGCACTGGGCCTAAACCACGACAGGGAAGAAGCAGGTAACTGCAGGCTCATGAAAGAAACCCAAGCCAGTTTCCACAATCCATAGGAATCAGCGCTTGTATGTGGTCCTAAAGCTTCTAGAAAGGAAGCATCAGAGAGCTTAGTAACGGAAGAGGGGACATCTTAGCATAAGCCATACACACAAGTCTTCAGTAGTGTTAACTTCAAATAAAATTTGCTATTAGGCCTGGAGCAGGTGCCTCTCCTGGACTCTGAAGAGCACCTAGTGTACTTCTCAGTAAGCACGCTGCAGCCCAGACCAGCTCTGTGTCTCATCGTCTCTCGCTAGCTCCAAAGCCTAGAGAAGAAATGTTCCCAGTCAGCAACAGCTTTAACAGGCCTCATTAATTTTTATTCCAATAAATGCCCAAGCTTCACGTAAGCATTTTAAAAGCATAGTAGTTGTGCAAGAGTCCTTCTTCATTCTACTTTGCTGCTTTCTCTAAGCAGTCTCTCCTTGTTAACAATGATGTACATGTACAAGTGCCATGCAACACAGTAAAAGGTGATTTATAAGTGGGTTTTAGTATTCTTCTCAAGATCTTTTTATTTCTCAGAGTAAGTTACAATTTCCATGCTGCACCTCTCTGTCTCAATACGCATGCACAGATGTTTGTCAGAACTTCAGCTGGTGGTGGAAGAGGATCTTTGTCATAGTCTTCACCTGGTCTAAACAACACGGAGAAGCAGCTATTCTTGGAGGAGGCCCAATTTATACTTCAGCTGTCAGGACTATTTGGGGTCTTTCTACTTCTATATTTTTGAGAGGTCCTGACTAGTCATCAGGAGAAGTTGGATACTACATATGTATTTAACCTAAACTCCCACTCATCCCCTCCTCCTCCATGTTAATACTGAAATAAAATTCCATGGGTTTTTATAGCAGGAGTCCCTGAGGAGCTGGCTGAACAGCAGTAGCAAGCCATGAGGAAGAGCAAGGAAGCTGGCTGCACAGAAGGGTGCAGTGACAGGTAAGGAATGCTAAATAGCGCTGCAGCTACACTAAGCAACTCAGCATGGATTTCCATGGAATACACTATCCAGCTCAAAAGGCTTCCTTTTAAGCCTGAAGGTCTCTCTGTATACGGACAGGATGCACCTGTTGCACAAATTGGCAGGTTACCAACATGCATATGGGAGACACGCAGCCATGACGTACAGCCCATTTGCAAATAGAAAAGTCTGCTTTTATACACAAAGTTTTTTTTTTACAGTTCTTTTTTAATGGCTTTAGCTAGCAGAGCTGCTGGATAGTGAAGCTCTGTAGGTCTGTAACACGACAGTGGTACAGTTTTGCAGCTCATTACACTGTTTGGGGTAAATTAGTATGACTGTCATACTAAGACTGTAGGCAGATAGGCCCAAAACAAGACCTCCAGTCTACAGTTGACAGACCTCCAAGGAAAATGCAAACATCCACAGACCTCTTCACCTGTGTGGTATGGCAGGCATGTATCCAGAAGACGTAGTTTGAGGCAAGATCTGAAGTGCCATCCCTTTGAAATAAGTCAGACTTACATTTCATACCTCAGCCCGAAACATGAGAAAGGAACTGAACTCTAGGAAGAAATCCCACGAAGTTCTAAGATGACAGCATTAAGATCAGTCAATCAGTGCTGTCTAGCCATAGAAGAATTGAGTCCTAACACATGTTCATGTAAGTAGTTTCACTTAGACACTGAAAACAAATCGCACTTTTCATATACTGATTCTCAGAGACTAAACAGCATGTATGTTTTTCCATTCAATTAAAACAAAATTAACCTTAAAAGTTCAGGGTTACAAGATCAAAGAATATATTTAAAACCAAGATCTTGCAATGTAGCAAACAGATAGGCCTGTAGCCTCAATTAAGTCACAGATACTCTGGTGGCCTACTCAATCCTTGGACTACAGCCCGAGTTTCCACACTCTTTTAGTTCTTCTGTCAAATATTTGTGCATGGACACTAATCCTCATGGAACTTATTCCAGGAACTAATTTCACAGTCAGACAGAGCTCCATTGATCAACAGTGGCCTTCAATATAAGAATGTGTAGTTCTCTGTTCCCTTAAAGGCTCCTCTATTCAAAACAAGAATTAAAGTACTTAACTTGTAATACCCAAAACCTTTCAGATCTTAGCTTATATTTTGCAGTGGGGTATTTTATTTCTAACATTCCAATGTAAAAAGCCTGACATATCAATTCCATTAGCAAAGTTCATTGACAGGATGCTGTTATTAAAACTCCTATTAAAAAAAAAATCAAGTGGAAACTAAATTTTGCATAAAGTTCTATTGAAGGCTACTCTTCTATGAAAACAAGGATATGACATATTTTCAGAGGGTATCCTGAGACTCAATCATTTTTATGTAAAATGTACATACAAATCATAGTTTCCATTTCTTTACATATCATACCCTTAACAATTCAGCACTAAGTTTAACATTTTTTAACTGATAACTAAATAACTCAGACTTTACCTTATGTATTCAGCATTCCATTGATAACATCTACTTTCAAATGCTTAACAGTTATGGCCAAAACTCCACTCATGAATTTTATGGCAATCTGTTGAAAACCCATTGCATATACAATCAGTCCAATGTAGCCAAAGCCCTGTAAAAAGCCTCCTGGTTTTAACTTACATGCAAAATCAGCAGGGCTATTTTCTCCATCTATCACCAAACACATGTATCAACTTTTACTTAAAAAAAAAAACAACAAAGTTATATATTGCTTAGTTTTACTTCTGCAAGATAACTAGCTCATTGTTTAAAAAACACCTGGCTCTTTGTCAGTCTCCTTGCCGAGAGAGACTTGCTAGAAAAATAAAGACGTTATCCTTCCAGGAATACAAAATGGAACATTAGCTCAAAATTAATAAATAACAATAATAAAGTATATTACTCTAACAACAGTATATTCCTTATATTAACTTCAGGTATATTACCACAACACATAACCCAATGCACAACTACTTACAAACCATTCTCTTTCTACCCATCATCATCTTAATTTGAAAAGTTTCCATTTCAATAGGAAAAGTTTGGTGAACACTATTTATCAAAGGCAAATTCCAACTTTTGGAAAATACCCCCAACAAATAGACCAGATGGTAGCATTAGTCCAATATAACCTAGAAAAATTAACTATAGTTCTGGTGCTACATTACTGATAAAATAGCAAAATACAGGAAAATTCCTTTGTATTTGAAACTACTATTGAGAAAAAGTAGGTTCTTTGGAGAAAGAGGCCATTACAAAAGATTTAGAAAAACAAAACCAAACCATGCACTTCAAATCTGCTATGCTTTTACGCAAGTCTTAGGAATCAGTGTTTTTAATCATCAGCTCTTTGCAGGTTCTCATCTTCTGTGATTTCTGAAGTCTTGAAAGCTAGGTGTTCCAAAAAGCTATACAAAAATGTGATACATTTTTATATACATATACATATATATATCTATGTATGTATGTATGTATGTATGTATGTATCACTGTTCATCCATCCTTCCAAGTCGCCGCCGCCGCCTACAGAAAGACTTTAAGTTCCATTTGCTTTCCTCCAACATAAGAGGTCCATTGTAGACAAACAGCACCGTCATCTTGTCATTGTAAGTGAGATTCTGAAGAAGCTGGTGAAAAACAGAAAAAACAAAGTTAAAATAGCTAGAAGAAAGTTCCCCATTATCTAAAAAAGGTGAAAGAGCTCTACGTAAAACCTTAGATCTCAAAAGTGCAATATAGTAGGATTATAGCCTTTCTGACAGATGATATATATTTGTTCCTAGAAAACCCCAAGGAGACTCCACTCATTCTTCCAGCAACTTTCACGCTTCATTATTCTTACTACAAGAAAATCTTCATATCTAATCTGTACCTTCTTGCTGCAAATGTGGTCATTATTTTTTTGCCACATCCACAATGGGCAAAGAATATTGGCTGTTTTTCCTTTTTTGCCAGGGCAAGGCAAGAGGTAGTTTCTTGAGCACAATTATTATGTCTCTCTTCAGCCTTGTCCTCCTCTGAGCTAAGCAATTTCCATTAGCGGGAACTCAAAACTTACTAAAAGTTGCACTGCTATCCTCTGAATTAACTATACTACTACAGTCACTGTACTACTTTTCTGAAGCATAACAGCCAAAGCTGGACTCTTACCATAGTCCAAAGCTTGACAGACACAAGCCCAGCAGACGGATACATGTCATGTAAGCTGTAGGGTTATCTGCAGTGATCAGGGTGACTTTCAGCAATTTACTTGCAACTGATGGTTGACTTGTCATCCACAGAAACTTCTCTCCCCCCAGTCATTTAAATATGTGTTCCTTAGACCAGACACTGCTGCTGGTATTTTCCACTAAAATACCAAGTCCTATACTTGTCTATGCTGAAATGCATCCTGTTTTCAAATAAAGTTACCTAATCTAAAATTCTTTCGAATTCTAATCTTGCTCTACAGTAAAGCAGCATTCACTCCCAAAATGGTGATATTTGCATGTTTAAGAAATATAATCTGCTTCAGATTAAAAAATACTTCAGATATTAAAAATACTGATTTTCAAACCCAAGACTAACTCCCAAGGAACACATTCAGTTCATCCACTCAATCTGTCAATGAATCAAAACTATTCAGAATACGATTTTCCTAGTCAATTCTAGTGTACATTAATCTACACCTAAAAAAAATAGCTTGCTAGCATGTGTCAACATACTGAAAAAAACACATGACAACTGTTTTTCCTTTACCCAGTGGATACACACATGAAACTTAGCTTAGTATGACTATTTGTCACACTTTCTAGTATGTGATTACATACTTTCCTTCTAGTAAGTGATAGTGTAGGCTCAGGAAGGTCAGGCAAGCCACTGGAGCAGAGTCTGGCTTTCTCCTCAGCCTGCTCTGTACAGCCTTTTAATTATCCTCTGATACATCTCACTCAAACTATCTCATCAGCTCAAACCTTCACACAAAGTGCTATCTCAATAATGTTCTTTGTGGTAGGCCACTAAAACTTCATCATGTCAAGTGTGGTGATCACCAACTTGCAGCTGATCGAGGGGGGAAAGAAGAAAGAAATATCTTCAGTGATGTCTTCATAATACCATCTCTTGTTGCCGAATAGAGGTGCAACATATTTCTTGATCTTCTTTTTACCATAATGTTAAATGGACTTCTTTTTTAAGCTTCTGAAATTTCTTACTTCTGATTTCTCATTTTTACTCTGATCTTTCTGGTTAGCTCTACACAGTCATTTTCCCCCTTCTCTATCTGACAATAAGCACAACTTTTAAAACAGACTTTGAACCCCAGACAGTCATCTTCTACAGTCCCTTACGTGTGGGACATTAAAGTTAGTAGAGCTATCTCTATCTTTTCAACATGCAAACCACTTGCTTATTTCTCAAAGCAGGAGACAGCACAGAAAAGCAGATCCAATAAGGAGAGAATTCGCAAGACAAAAGGCAGTACATAACACACAAAACAAGACAGAAGTGATGAGGACAGGAAACGACCAAACTATGTGGAGGTAAGTATACTGCAAAATCAGAAGGAGCAACAAGCACCACCTTTCTCCTACTTTCAGTCAGATAAATGCTGTAGGTGGCTTTTCTGAGGTCCTTCAAATGCTACTGAGAAACAATAATGTGCTATTGTTTGCTGCTAACAGAAACATTGTTTCTGCTAACAGAAAACAATAGCACATACCAGCCAGATTTTCTAAAATACAGCGAAGTATGGGATGCAGGAGAACTGGTCTCTTAATAAAAAGCACACAGCCCATTACTGAATGCTTGCCTCTTTGATGTACAAGTAACCTTTACTGGTTCAATCTGTCTTGGATCAAGTTGAATATGGCATTAGCCTCTGTTAAAAGTGCAGGTGAACAGCCACCCTACCACAGCATCACACTGGTACATCATCCAGTAAGTCAATCACAATTTTTAAAATTTATTTTAACAGACAAGCACAATTAGGCATTGGTGCCTCTTGATTGAAAAAGTCCTCTCAAGCCATTCTCTATGGAGCATAGCACTGACCTTTTCTGAACTTAAGTCTCAGATTATTACTTGAATAGTTTTCCTCCATTAACGTGGGACTCCTCTAATTTTTCTGATGCCAGGAGCACCAGCCTGTGCCAATATCATTACCTGGCTTATTTAGAAGTTGGTCTCTGTGGCAAACCGAATTCTGTGTGAGCTAGAAACATTACATTTGACAGCTCTGTTACACAGTACCCTGACCACTGGTGGTTTACTTGTGATACTTCCACAAAGGCCACAATTCCAGACTGTGTTTATGATGAGAAGAGCCCTGGTATAAGCTGTCTGAATTCTTACTAGGACTGTCTTTAAAACTGACAAATTCTCTCACAGTATTAAGTTATTACATAAAACAGAGATAAGTTATACAGTGTTTATAGGGACATTACCACACGAAGTTCAACTCTCTTACATATGAAATTTTCAATTTCATTTTGAACCACACACCTTTGGTGTAATAAAGAAGTACTGAGACGTGCTTTCTTTACAAGCAGTTTTGACAACCATTTCAAAAACTCTTCTCTCATTCATTGGATCCATTCCCTAAAAGACAAAAAAAAAAGTCTGTTCTCTCTACCACGTCATAAGCTCTGTATTGTAAGAGGTGATATACTGCACTATTGATCCTCACCTGATTTATTTCATCTACAACCCTGAAAGGACATCTGTTGAGTTCCTGTAGAGCCATCAGGTACAGCATAGTGGAAACACTCTTCTCACCTCCACTCTGATGATATGGAGTCAATTCATGAAGTTCAGTCCTACTGTGGAACTTGACTCTAATGCGAATCCCGTACTTGTCGTATTCCTCCTATAAAAACCAGTACCTGTTAAACTGAGTTTCTCTGTACCACAGCTTGTTTGATAATGACATGCAAATTAAAGGACATTTATATCAAATGTTCTACAGGGGTCTACAAACTACCCAGGTTCAGTTTAATATCAACGTATTAATTGTTTCATATAATTTTTCTTAACTCTCATCTATTATTTTTAGTTAGAGAATTTTCAATATCACTCCCTTCCTGTGACAATGTTAACTTCTGAAGCTTAAGATTCCATCCAGACCTCTTAAAACTGCAAGCAGTCTAAATAAATCCTTCTCTTTTCCTCCACTACTAGATACAAAGCCCCTACAAAATCTAGCATGACAGCAACTTCACTTTCATACTCAGTCAGGAAAACCACACACAAGGATTCCAACCCAGGACTTTTCTTTAATGGAAAAATGACACTTGTCAGCAGTCTGAGTCAATGGTGCAAAGGTGTAGGAATAACAGATGTAGTTCAAAAGAAGGCCTATGCAAGGAAATACATTCATGATTTGAGGGGAAAAAAGAAATCTTTTGAATACTTGCTAATATTTCTGAAGTTCAGGTAAGCTCAGTGCAGGAATTGGAATGCAAGCTCCAATGCAGAAAGCCCATACTGATTGCTTACTATTCAGTTTATGCAAGATACAATCTTTATATGCACCTATCAAGTAAAGGAGAGCTACACAGAGTATTCAAAAGTTTCAAGAATATGAGTTTCAAGAGGTCTATCCATATTCACTGCAGAAGTGTAGATCCTGTACTTGAAGATCATTGACTCACTTTCTTCTGATAACACAACAGTATTGCTTAGAAGAAAGGTAGAACATGGAGGTGACTCCTAATGGTTACTCAAAGAATACTTCTAGATTTAGAAGGGACAGTTGTGCCAGAGGGAATGAGGAGTCCATCCCACAGACGCCGGCACACGCGAGTTTGGTTCAAATTGCCACCTACCAGAGTCATCAAAAGGCATATGAACCTGGGTGACTTGGCAGAGCAGAATCCCATTGTAGGGCCAGCTTTTATGAAGCACAAGGTCTAAAAGCCACCATGAAGTAAATAAACCATACCATCTTAAAGTCTTACAGATGCCTTAAGAAACTTAAAAGTCTGTAGGAACAATTTTCAGCTTCTTTGCTACCTTCAGATCTTGCTTTGGGATAAGTAATATCCACACCAGATAGCATCTAACATTGGAGAGGATCTATCAAATACTCTCAGATCAGCTAATCTGCTAAATCAGAAGAACAACCCAACTGCTGGTATTCTTGGTGTTTTACTACATCTGCAGGCAGTCAAACATCCTCAGGACTGAAAACTGTACAGTCTTATACTGGTATTTACCTCCGTGTACTACAAAACTCTGCTGCTTCTGGTGTATCAGTATTACAGAAACATGGAGCTGCAAATCCTTGAGGCAGAGGAAAATGCATACACACTTCAGGAGATAAAGCAGGTGACCTGACATACTTATAAACTCATGTTTGCTAAGTGCCAACTTTTCTCAATATTGAAGACAGGTCACCTTTCTCACTCTTGATGTTTTTGCTGTTGGCAATAGGTTGGCACTTCCAAAGACAAAATGAAGACCTGCCTTGAGAAGGGATGCTCATGACAGACACATTAAAACAAAGCAATGCTTAATACAACTATTTGCAAGCTGATTTTGGTTACTATTTCATTCTTCCCCACTATGGAAGAAACTTCTTCTTTGGCACTTAATGCAGCTTATCAGAATAATTAGCTTCTCAGATTTGCAGATTGTAGTTTGACAGCCATGCCTGATAGTTAGGAATCTAAGAAGGAAAATCATGGGGAAATGCTTTCAAAACAAATGAATGTTGCTGCACTGAGATTTCTGGACACGATATTTTGCTAAGGGGTGCTAATAAGACACTATCCTAATCAGTGAAGACAACAGCACCATAGCTTAGGTGAACTTTCTCTACTATAGTAGGATTTGGTACCTGATTGTCAGGAACAATCAAAGAGACCCACAATCTGGCTTGCTTATGACCAGGAATATTTAGAATAGTGCAGTGAAAAAATATCCTTAATTTAGTTTCTATTTCTTCTCTAACATATACTTGCAGAGCTTTTGCTATGCTCTTTGGAAAGGGACGGGGTTGTGGGACATCAAGAACACAACACAACTTCATGTAAGGAGAAGTAAAACACATGACCCAAGGTTTCTAGGCCCACTGTAATTTCAGATGCATTGGCACAGACTGAAACTAGGCTCAGAGAAGTTTACAAGGTACAGGCTGGTTAAACTTCCAATAAAAAAAAAATCTGCTCTCCAGGACAGCTGCAATGGCATCAGAAAGTCAGGTCTTTGTTGTCATGCTACTGGGAATAGCAGTTCATGTAACCAACAGATATTCCAGAACCTGCCAAGAGTGATGCTCAAAATTCCCTGCAGGAATCAAGGAAGGTGAGTTTTATCACTGCTAGCACTCTGAATTCTGGTTACCAAGTGCTACTAAGGAAAGTCAGAACATTCACCGAGGTTTCTGCTAGGAAACCAAGGAAGAACCTAGTGAAGTATTTCACACAGTAGGTACTATCACCAAGAACATCATCAGATCTCAAGGTTCCTGCAGGGCAGGCTAACAAAGCCTTGAACTTCAGTGTCACATGAATATTTCTAACAGAGATAATACTACCTCAAGGGTCTCTCGTGATATTTATAAGTCAGAGCAAAAGAGTGTCAGAGAATGGTAAGGAATCCAAGCTTTAGTACAGACTATCCACCTCTCTGTATCATAGGCATTGATCCCTCCCCGAAAAAGTTTTAGTAATTGACACAGTACCATTAGCTAAACTCTTAAGCTATTTGTCACATCTTTACAAGAGAAAAGACCCACCAAAGAAGATATTCAGAAAGATAGTCCAGACTCCCTTTCCTTTTAAACTGCTTTACTGTTTTCCTGTGTATTCTCTCTCAACTTACTTTTAGATAAAATACAAGATCTGACTTTGTAGATAACTATCAAAAGAACCAAAAAGTCCATGTTTTAATGTCCTACTGTTTCATAACACTAGTTTCTATGTAAACATTTTTATGCAGTTCATGTAAAGAGCCTTCTCAGTCACTCTTCTGCCCTCAGTAATAACTACCACTTCAAATATGTTAAGAAATGCTGCTTGAGCAATTTATAACAGCAAAACAATATTTGTGTCAACTTTCACTCTTGTTGAGTCTATGCATTACATATGAGAGCCTTAAAATCATCATTACAAAGACCAACTTAAAACGAAATATCCAATTTCTCTTCAGTCCACTGCACTTTATATCTCTCCCCAAGGTGCTATTGATGTTTTAAACCCTTCATCAGAGGTAAGCCCTGAGGGCATAACAGACTGGGCCAAATAATTGCTACTTTCAAAGCAGACAAAATGTCAGCAGACTTGAACAGAAACTACATGGAGAACCAAATCAGTGCAACACTTAATAATAGTAGGTCTAGCCATTAAATAATAGAATAGTACAAATTAGCTAAAAATGTAAAACTAAATCACTAACGTAATAAATCTGAGTTACAGCTCAGTATAGTAAAGTAAATACAATGCTTCTAACCAAGCCCTCTAAGTCACAAAAAGCTTCCAAAAGTCAGCGAGTTGAAGTCCAATGAATCTGGACAAAGACTCATTTTCCTTTAATCAGACTGGTAATTCAGTTATAGTACAAATATATTAATCAGTAAAAGTGCCTTATGTTTTTTAGAAGAACATCTTTCCTACAATCCAAACGACAACTTATTTTTTCTCTAGCAATATACAAGCAAAACATGATTCATGAAAACAGTAGTTATCCTTCCATATGAAAAATAAATCATACCTCATTTTCCACATGAAGATCAACTTCACCAGCACACTGCATAGAACTAAAGAAGCTACTGAACTTCTCACTAATTCGCTCAATCATCTTTTTCAAAGGGTTTAGCCACCTTTCTTTAACCTAGAAGTAGATATATCCATGTAAAACCACTTTTAATAACTGAGTTTTCCTTTAGAAAAAGCTTTTAAATTAAAAAATACTGTAATTACAGAAACTAACATCTCAGTTTACACTGTTACCCTTTATTTCTGTACATATATTCTATTCTAATAAAGACATACTGATACATAAGTGATAATTTCAGCTATTACCTGTGAAATGTTTTGCTTATAGTTATCCAATTCCTTTTTCTTTTCCTCTAGATATTCCGTCAACTGCTGTATTTCTTGTATCTGCCTATCATAGTCTTCCACAACCTGCCAGGATAAAAAAAAAAAAGCAGTCAACAAAATGTTTGCCAATTCTAACCTTGACTGTAAAAATACTACACTACACTGATTCTGTTAAAACACAATTACATAGATTATTGCACACTGAACAAGATACATTTCTACGTTTAAAGCAAAGAAACTGTAAAGCATTGCTTATTTCAGGTTACTGCAACTTTTTTTTTTAAAGGTACAGAACACACTGTTCTTTTGGAAGCTCCTACTTAAAATTCTAATAGATACAGTATCTGGTATTTACAGTACATTGTTCCTGCTGTCTAGCTTATTATACCAAGAGATCTAGCAGAGAGTAGGAAGCAAGTACAATATGGGTGGAGGGGGAGAAAAAGAGGGTGGAAGGAAAGCAGTGAACATACTGAAGCATTCAGGCCTGTGAAACAGGAGACCCTAGTTTTCTCTTCATTCAGAAAAGCATCGATTTCCTCCAACGTGTTCGGA